AGTAGAAGTTATATTCTTGTTTTTCTATTTATTTACACGGTTTCGTCCATTTTAAATTGCATCTATTATTTTGTATAGAACTCTTACGATTGATTTCTAAACATACATGGGTAGATGTCAAACTTTATTTTTACTTTTATCATATAGTTAGTTTATTATAAAAGAAGGGTTTGTGGGTGGTGGTGGGGTGGGGTGGGCGGTGTTGGTGGTGGCGGGAGGGGGGGTTGATATAGTCCAACATGATACACATCCATAATAAATAAAATACCAATCTTCATTAGGGGGCCATTGTCCATTGAATATCAATCTTCATTAGGCCTCGGATTAGTATGTCTCAGACGAATTATAGCGTGTGACAAAGTTTTATATGAGTAATGGTTAGATTATTCATTTCCTTGCATGCTTCAATATCTTGTTTTCAAATGATATCTAGGGCTCGATTGACAGGGTTCTGCTTTTGCTTCTACTTCTGGTAGAAGAACTTCTTAAAGAAGTTTCATTTTGTGAGCAGTTTCTGAATGATTGTAATTACAGGGGTTGGCCTCCACCCCTTTTGGTTGGTGCAATTAATACAAAATCTACACTTCCTGTGTATATTTTAGCATCTTACTACGATAAAATAAGCTGAATATTTGTTCATTCTTTTGTCTTGTGGGTTCAACACATAAACTGGTTTAAGATTATCTTTTCTATTATTTTAATTAGTATTAAAAAATTACGAATGTTGTGTTTGGTTATGACGAATGCAGGGAAAATCTTTTTCTCTGCGATTCCCCATTGAGGTAAAAAATATCCAAATGGCCAAGCATGGTAGCGATTCTGGTGTATATGACAAAGAAGGAAGGTATGTGTGACTCTCGTTTACTTTGAGAAATTAAGACTAGATACTCATGAAATAAATTGGATTGATATGTTTTGAAATTCAAATCTTCCCGAACCCCTATCTTCGAAGATTGGATTGATATGTGGCGACTTCAGTACCAAAATTAATCAAAAAAATGTCTGATAAAGATTGTTGTGTTCTTGGCACAACAACGTGAAGTTTCTTTCTTTGTGTTTAGTATGCGTCTTGTTATTATTGTTTTTTGACTATTATCCCTTTTGAAGGTTTGTTGCATCGAAGTTTGAGGAGATTTTTGCCAAGCACGCGCACACTCATCCAAACGCCTTGACATCAAATGAATTGAAATCATTCATGAAATCGAACAGGGAAAAAAAGGACTACACTGGATGGTACATTTTGTGATTCAGAATCTCATATGAACATCACGTTCCTTCATTTTTTTACCGGTTTTTCCTGCTTACGTTAATTCAGTAAAACATTGGGAATGCATTGCAGGCTGGCGGGATATGTTGAGTGGCAAATCCTATACTCCCTTTGCAAGGACAAAAATGGATTGTTGCAGAAAGATACCATCAGAGCTGCATTTGATGGAAGCCTATTCGAGCGAATGGAAAAGGAGAGAGCATCTAAGAAGCAGGCAAATCGGCTAAAATCGACAATATAAACCATTAACTATCTTATTTCGATTATTTCTTTTACCATGAATAATATACTAAACAAGAAGCAGCAAATTGTATCATGATCTCTTTATTTTTTTTTTCCAGTGTTCTTATGATGTGGGAAAAATATGTAAAGAATACTCTCATCCTCTGGTCATGAGCTGAGGTTTAACTTTTAAGTATATGTATACATGGATGTTGGATGATGTTCCATTAAAAAAAGTTGTAATTTTCATGACCATTAGTGGTTGAATACCTTCTAATCACCCCTTCAAGTAATTCCATGCACTCCAATAGTATAAAATTATACAATACAAAGTGTGTCATTTTAAAAATTCAAATGCTAACTCATATGAAAATTTGAGATTCAAAGTTGGTTTTCAAACTTCTTGAGTATTTTTCACATGTGAATTTTCTCTCCCCATTATTTAATTAATGGGTAATTATATTCGTACCACAATTTTTATTTGTTGCACCACGTTTTAATTGCATTTGAAGTTTTTAATCTTTGCTCATTATATCATTTATATCCATAATGATTTTTTACATCATTCTTATCCTTAAAACTTTCTAGTAGTTAATACATTTTATATTTGATAATAGTTTTATGTCCAAAAGTACGTTGAAATGACGTAAAACAACTTATTTTTTGATCTTATTTAAAAAAATAAATAAATAAAAAGTGCGAAAAAATAGTTTTCTCTCATTTCAAAGCATAAAATCAAAATATTTTGATATAAAATATCATCAATAATGAAACGTACTAATTAATGGAAAGTTGAAGATAAGAATTCAATGGAAAAAAAGTAGCAAAAATTGAGGAATTTAATTACAATTAAAATGTGGTGTATCAAATAAAAATTGTGGTAGTAATATAACTTCCGGATGTTCTCTTGCATTAACTTTACGAGAAAATTACTTATTGCAAAAATTACTCTTTGGACCAGTAGGGAAAGTTACGATCCCCACCTTGGAATAGTACCTACACACCTTCATCGACATTGTTTTCGACCGGAAGACCCCACATAAAAACGTTTCTACTCTTACAATTGATTTCGTTAGTGCACTTGATACCGATGGATGCTAGGGAGTCTCACAAAATTAACCACACCAGTGGCAAAATCCTAGGAACATCTCCACCTGATTGTACACTCTTGCTACGTAAATGTTAGAATTGATGTCATGCGTTTAATGTTCCAAGAACTTCTTGTCAATATCCAGCGCCGTACTTGAAATTTTTAGGGCTTGAGAAGAACTTTAAAAAGAGAGAATTTCATAACTATAATTTCTAAATTAACAAACTTGTAAAACACTTAACAAAAATTGCTAAATGTAGATATTTTAACAACGTTGCAAAGTATGCCACATATTAACTTTTTCAGTAACAATCATTAGCCATTGTCAAATTTACAAAACATATAAAATCTTGTGCAATAGACAATGGACATTGTAAAATGATATTTTTTAACAAAAAGAAAACAGACGTTGCTAAAATGTAGAAGTTTTAATGTGCGTACAGAACGTCACAAAATAAGCTACGTATTAACTTTTTTCAGAAACGATCATTGCAAAAGATTATTTTTCTTCTAATAACACACAATTAATATATGTTATTGTTTACATGTTGCAAAAGATTATTTTTCTTGTAGTGATATCCCATTATGTAATAATTACTCATTCTAGTTCAATAGTTAATTCTTTATTTTGCTCTAATAAATGCCACTTTACCTACCTGTTAGTTGTCTCCATATAAACTTTTACATCAATTGGAAAAAATTCTCCTGCGGGTTGGCAAATAAATTTATCGATTCATACAGAAACATTTTGCCTCTTTCTATTCCAGTGGGAGATCTGAAATTTGAGATATCATCAACAATCTCAAGAAGAATTTAAAAGCAATATGACTTAGGTATATGGTTAAGATTGAAAATTGATAATAATTTTGACAGCCAGATATTGTATAAATTTTGTAAAACTCAGTCCTAAATAAAGTATTATATGTAAAACTAAATGAATGATGTGGGGCCTCGACTACAGTGAGGGGCCTGTAATGCTCCTGTGAAAACGCCCCTGTACTTGGGGAATTGCAGTTATTGTCACCAATGGCACCAAATTAGAATTGGAGAAAGTGGTTTCTCCAATTATTATCATTATTGTTGTTGCTGCTGCTGCTGTAGATTTATTACCGCAGATCGTTTCATTTTTCTGAATGATAATTTTTCCTTCAAATTATTCTATAGGTTAATAATTATTTGGCGTGAAACAAACAAAAAAAAAAAAAAAATGAAGTATATTTTCAAGACACGAAACTATGTTTTGTTAGACAACATTATGTTAATTTTATAAATACAGAATGTGCGAGAAATTAGAAGATAAGTTTTTTTTTTAGGGCGGTTTTTTTCGCCCCATTCGGGGCGGGGCACCGTCGGGGCGGGGCGGGGCGGTTTTTTTTGCCATCCCTACATTCTAGTTCAATAGTTAATTCTTTATTTTGCTCTAATAAATGCCACTTTACCTACCTATTAGTTGTCCTCCATATAAACTTTTACATCAATTGGAAAAAATTCTCCTGCGGGTTGGCAAATAAATTTATCGATTCATACAGAAACATTTTGCCTCTTTCTATTCCAGTTGGAGATCTGAAATTTGAGATATATATCATCAACAACCTCAAGAAGTATTTAAAAGCAATATGACTTAAGTATATGGTTAAGATTGAAAATTGATAATAATTTTGACAGCCAGATATTGTATAAATTTTGTAAAACTCAGTCCTAAATAAAGTATTATATGTAAAACTAAATGAATGATGTGGGGCCTCGACTACAGTGAGGGACCTGTAATGCTCCTGTGAAAACGCCCCTGTACTTGGGGAATTGCAGTTACTGTCACCAATGGCACCAAATTAGAATTGGAGAAAGTGGTTTCTCCAATTATTATCATTATTGTTGTGTTGCTGCTGCTGTAGATTTATTACCGCAGATCGTTTCATTTTTCTGAATGATAATTTTTCCTTCAAATTATTCTATAGGTTAATAATTATTTGGTGTGAAACAAACAAAAAAAAAAAAAAAAAGTATATTTTCAAGACACGAAACTATGTTTTGTTAGACAACATTATGTTAATTTTATAAATACAGAATGTGCGAGAAATTAGAAGATAAGTTTTTTTTTTCTCTGTAAACTGTTAATTTCAAATTTGGTTAACAATTATTTATTTATTTCTGGCGACCATTTGTCCTTTATCCTTGTCGATTCTTCTTATTGTAAATTGTAAATTTCAAGATAGAATACGGTAAAAATGAACGCCAATAGGTGAAACAGTAAACTTCGTAAATTATTGCGAATTAGTATTCATAACTTTTAGATAGAGCCCCCGAAACCGCAACCCCAAAGTCACATTTGGAACAGTGTAAACTCGGTTTTTTCCTTTCATCATCCCTAAACATTACAAAATGGCATACTCTCTCTCTCTCTCTCTCAACACACTAGAGAAAATGAAGTCACTTGCTGAAGCTCTTTCTTTCTCTTCTGTTATGTGTTATCTCCTAACCTCCTCGTTCTTCTTCTTCTTCCCACACCCTTCCTATTCTGCTTTAGAATCCTTCATATACGCTGGCTGTACTCAGTTTAAATACAACGATGGGTCGCCCTTCGAAACAAATCTCAATTCAGTCTTAACCTCTATAGCTAACTCAGCCTCCCTCTCCAACTTCAACAACTTCAAGATTTCCCTCCCGGGCTCCACCGACAGCGACATCGTCTATGGCCTATTCCAGTGCCGTGGAGACCTCACAAGCTCGGACTGCCACAATTGTATAACGCATGCAGTGAGTCAGCTTGGAAAAATCTGCATCGACACTTCCGGTGGAGCTTTGCAGTTGGAAGGGTGTTATGTGAAGTATGATAACGTATCATTTTTGGGTGCAGTAGACAAAACCGTGGTGTTGAAGAAATGTGGGTCGTCATCTGGGTATGATTCGGACTTCTTGACTCGGAGAGATGCTGTTCAGGCGTATCTTACCGGAGCCGGGCAGTATTTTCGGGTCGGTGGGTCAGGGAAAGTCCAGGGTATGGCACAGTGCATACAGGATTTGAGTATGAGCCAGTGCCAGGATTGTTTATCAGAGGCAATCCAACAGCTGAAAAACGAGTGTGGATCTTCATCTTGGGGTGATATGTTCTTGGCCAAGTGCTACGCGAGGTATTCGGTGCGTGGGGTCTCTTCCGATGGTGGAAAGCAGTTCCGCCGCCGTGGCTGGTGGTTCATGATTTGTGGTTTTATATTTTCTTTTATTTATGTCATGTTATGTTAATCAGTAAAAAAATGATGAAGTTATGTTTATTTGTTCAATTCTATAAAGGCACTCTCATGTTATGTTTTATGCATGGAAAATTTGTTACAGATTTTCAAGAATGATTTTGTTAGAGACATAAACACAGAATATGATAATATATTTGCCAATCAAAGTAAGAACAAACAAGAAATTAACAATCGAGTGTAAACTGGTGCTAAATACTAGACGTAAACGACATAGTTTTCGGACATGTATAATAAAGCAAGCAATTGACCATAAAGAGGAAAGGGAAAGGTTTAATTTTGGTAAAGGAAGTGTTCCTCTTTTTGCTTTGGTGACCATAAAAGATGAGGAGAAAATTGATATGGTCGGCTCTTGATTTCAATTTCAAATCTTGCGAGTCCCTATTTAATTAATTTGAAATTATATTTGGTACAAATTAAAATCTGATTTTAATCTCAAGTCAAAGATAACAATTAATTTTAACCACACATTTCGTGGGATCCACAACTTTTCAACCATACTTTTCATTAACTTTTATCAAAATCTATTAAAAATCTGATTTTAATATACAACAAACAGGGGCTTAGTTTTGAATTATATTTTGATGTAGAAAAGTGAAGGAAGATGATACTCTCAATAGGGTTTAAAGCTCCATCCCCTTTCCCAAAACACTAACAAAATACAGTTTATGCAGATAATAACTCTTGGAAATGGTTTTCTTTGGATGCCCTTTTGCTTTTACTCCAAGTTTCAAGTCTCTATCTTCGACCTCACGTAAAAACTGAAAAAGGTAATCAAGATAGGGAATGTGCATGGATATGCACATACCTCGAAACAAGTGAAATGAAATTCAAGAATAAATATTCCTCACGCACTAATTTATACCTACTTTCTACTTGTCGACTTTATGCTTTTCTAAAAAGTATGTTAATTATACAAATTTAGGTACCTTAATTAAACTTAAAAGTGGCGCATTTGTCTAAGCTTTATTTTCTTTTTCTTTTTCTTTTTCATTCTTCTCATCTCCAATGATCTTGTTTTTTTGGAAGGTTTGATACTGAATAGTTTATCGAATGAAGGGGTTTTTAGCCGCTTGTTAGTTGCCTTGATGCATTCTTTAAGCTTCTAATGCAAACCTAAGTTATTTGCAACTCGAGTTGACGATACAATTTAAATGCTTTTAACATGTTTAGTATTGAAGATTGGTATAAATAAATAAAAATAAGATATAATATAGTTCATTATACCGTAGTGCTATCCAATGTTGCATATCAAATGCATTTGAATATTTGTTTGCTAGAAAACCCTTGACAATCCTTGCCGTGCCTAACACAAATTAGAAAGAATGTATACAATACAAGATAAAATACATCGATCCATATATAGTTTCCTTCTACATCCATTCTACATATATCGACCATGCATCGAAACCATATTTATACCTTTTTTATAAACTCAAAATTTTCAAACCCCCCGAACAAGTACTGAGTTTCAACCTCCATCTCTTTGAATCAAACGTTTTTCATACATAATTCCGAGTTATTGACAATTCAGTGCAAGCAAATAATCTTTTACTAGCTAATCGATCATCAGTAATATAGTCATCAATAACGTATGCTAATTTTTTTTTAATATATATGTCAAGGTCATGAACATGGATGTTAATCACGAAAAAGTAACAACACTAACGTTAATCATTAGTGTTATGGACTAGAATGTTTTAATACCAATTTGTAGTAAAAAGATAAGGTATTATGGCCACAGTATGAAATAAATATCACAAGAATGCAATAATAAAATAAATTGCAGAGAATGAATATTTTATTATAAGATGGAAAAAGAATACAAAAGTTATGTGTTTACAATGTTTATAACTCCTTCTATCTTTTTACTAAATTATAATGAAGAGTTAACTATATACATGGAATAAATAGGGGATATTTAAACTCTCATAGTAGAGTTGTAGTTGAAGTACAATGCCAAAAATTGGAGTTCAAAAATGGAAAAAGATAGAAAAATCGGGCAACGGGTTGCGCCGCAGCGACCCTAGCCCGGCGCCGCAACTCTGAAACTTTCGGGTCCTTTACTCCAAAATTTCGATTTTCTTCATCCCAATGTACTTTTCAAGTCAAACACAAATTCCTACTTCCAATGAACTTTCAAATAGAAGTTCAATTATAGTTCGTCAAGTAAACTTATATAGAATTCAACAATTACATTCCAAATATGAATATAATTAATGAAAACTTTACCTAGAAATCTCAATTATCTTCAATAAAGAATTTATGTCACACTCAAATTCTAACAATCTCCATATTGACACGAATTCCACTGCAATGAACAAAACTTCAAAAACACAAACGAAATTCTCCATCAACAATTTCAACTGAAAATATTCACTACCTCTAGTGCCTCAACTAGGAGCACAAGTGATCTAATGACTACCATATAAGGTTGAAACAAGTCATGTAAAAGAATCATAACTGAATGCATCAAAAGAAAAAAAAAACTTGGCTAGAATCAACACCCTTAATCGTATTCAAATCATCAACAAAATTAGCAGAATTGTACATATGTGGAACCTTATGACAAAAAATGGGTTTATTTCTAGCAATTGAATGCGATGATACTGTCGATAATGGTGGCAAAATGGATTTATCCATATCTTCAAAATTCAACTGAGATATATTCTTAAATGAAGACCCAAAATTAGACTCCAACGGTACAGAAGTCAATTCTAAATCCACCCGAGTTCTTAAAATATGTTGATTACACGAAAATTCTGTATCACCCTGCAATTATCAAATTCAAAATAAAGGTCCGATAGCACGGAGATCAGTTAATTCAATAAGAAATGCAAGATATATAAATGAAATTTTCTATGTCCCATCAGCACAGACTTCTTTGATAACTTTTATAACTCCACATTTAATAGTGTGCCCGTACCCTTTTGAATCAAGAGTATTTAAGGAGAAAAGATTTTTCTTCAGATCTGGAACGTGTCTTAGTTCATCAAGTGTTATAACCGTCCCATTAAACATCTGATCTGACCAATACCAGCTATTCGATAAGATGTGTTATTACCGGTCATCACAACACCTTGTGAAACTTCTTCATCTATTGAAAATAATTACCGATTGGGTGATATATAAAAATTACGAGCTCTTTCCAAAATTCAAGCCTCATCAGGTTTGGAGTTGTGATCAGACATAAGTAGAAGCTCTCCATCGCTGCTAGGATTTTCTATAATACTTACTTCCACTGAGGTTTCTGATTGTTGATTTGCAGTTGATTTTGATTTATTTTGCAACTTATAACAATTGTTTATCAAGTGCCTATTTTTTTTACAATAATTATAAATTTTGAAGTTGGATTTTAACTTGCTCTTCGAACGATTACCATGAACAATGAGACCATCTCCATGATCTCCAAATACTACAAGATACTTCATCTTCTCATTCGAATATAGAGTATCGTAGACTTCTTCGATGGTGAGAGTATCACGACTATATAGTATCGTATCTCTAAAAGACATGTATGAGGCGGACAATAAACACAACAAAATTAATCTCAAGTCTTCCTCATCATATTTGACCTCAAAAGTCACCAAATCAGCGACGATTTCTTTAAAAGTAGTTAGGTGATTCTCAAGAGATGTACCTTCTATCATAAGATGAGAATATAGACGTTGTTTCAGATGCAATTTACTAGCAAGACTCTTTGTCATTCATAATTGGTCCGATTTTAACTATAATGCAGCGACTGACTTCTCCTTCAAAAGTCCCAAAGAATATTTTTTAAAAGATGAAGATGAATTTGAGATGGGGCCTTTTGATCTCTCCATTGTTTTTCCTCCATAGTCCAAGTTGTGGAAATCTTGTCAAATCCCAACAACGCCTCATCCATATCCATCTAACAAGTATTGCTCACATCTTTGCCAGTCACAAAGAAAATCTTGTATTGCAATCTAATAGCGAAATATCATATTTCATTGTTGCCATCACAAAAATCTCGATCTTCTCAAAAATTCCAACACCAATAGCTCTGATACTACTTGTTATGGACTACCATATTTTAATACAAATTTGTTAAAATAAGAAATTATAACCAATATGAAGTAAAGATCACAAAACACAAGAATAAAATAATTTGCAGAGAATATATATTTTATTATAATATGGAAAAAGAATATAAAGATTAGGGTTTTTGGTGGGGATCAAAATTAGATTTTTAGTATATTATGATAGAAGTTTTTGAAATGTGTAGTTAAAAAGTTGTGGAACCCATGAAAGATGCAGTTAATATTGATTGTTTGACTTTAATTTGGATTAAAATCAGATTTTAATTCGAACCAAACAGGGGATGCATTTACAATATTTCTAACTTCTTACTAAAAAATAATGAAGAGCCAATTATATATAGGGAAGAAATAGATGACGTTCAAATCCTCATAGTACAGTTGTAGTTAAAGTAGAATGCCAAAAAATGAGTCCAAAATGGAAAAGGACAAAATAATTGCGCAGGAGGCGAATTAGACGAGTGGCCTGGGCCTGGGCCTGGGCCTGGTGCTGGGCCAAAAATGTTGTGTTGCCAGTGGCGCCGCGACGTCCACTTTCGGGTCCTTTACAATCTCGATTTTCTTCATCACAATATCATTTTCAAGTCAAACATAAATTACTATTCTCAATGGACTTCCAAGTAGAATTTCAATTAGAATACGTCAAGTAAACTTGAATAAGATTCAACAATTGTATTCCAAATAGGATTATAATTAATGCGCACTTAATTAGAACTCTCAATTATTTTCAACAAAGAATTCGGGTCACACCCAAATTCTGACAATTAGTATTATTTTCCTTACTTTTTGTAGTTATGTGAGGTCAATTTCATAGTAACAAAGATACATAATCTTCTTTTACTTTAATTATTTTTCTCTTTTGGTATTGTATTTCTGTGGTTCTTGAAATTATTGTTCATCGCATTTTTCAATATTTTTATGGTTTTAATTAACAGAT